CGAGCATTATTGTATTTAATATATTCATTTTGACGTTATTAATGTACTAATCAGTGATATAATAATTATTAATATCAAATATTATTAAGAGCAAAATCAATTTATAACATACAGTGCGTTTGATTTAAACGTGCGAGTGTGTTAATTACAAATCAACTACAATTCTCTCTTTTCCTCTGTCTCTCTCATTTTCTTCTTATTTATATTTTTATTTCTATCAATACTAGCAGTCGGGATGTAATCTTTTTTGAAAGGTTGAGAATATTCCCCGTATCAATGTAAATTAACGTAAATGTTCTCGAAAAGTGCATTACCGGCTCTTTTGCGAGATAAAGCATCTCGTTGACCGGCTAGCGATAGATCACCACGTAACAATTAGTGTGGATGGTAATTACGCGAGCAGCTAATTACTAAAAGTCGAACCGTCCTATATCGGCGGCTTGTCAGCGAACCTCGCACAATGAAATGCGAAAAGTTTCAACACTATTCTCGTAACTCACTCTTTTCTACCGTTTTTCCATGGTTATCAGCTTTCGAGCTTTAGAGCAAATGGCGAAATGCGCAAGCGTTTTCCGCGTCTCCGCGACGATGAACATTTCAATTTAGTATAAAATGTGTCGCCGGTGAATATTGCCAGAATTCCTAATTTTTTCCGTGTATCACAAAAAATTTCTTTTATTCTAATAGAATTAAACAAAACAATAGTAAAAAACATTGGTTAATTAGGATCGAAAAAGGTAATTAAATAATAATATCTTAATTAATATCGGTGCCATAATTGAAATTCAAAACTCTCAACTTTTAATTTTACCTGAAAATGTATTACAGGGAAAGAATATGATATATATAACATACATACAGGATAGATAAATAAACATAGATTTTATAATTAATTTGGAATCAATTAGTAAAAATATTGAGGTAACAATTATAGATACTTAAGAAAAGTTTCTTTGCTTTCAATCTTTTTATTTTTATTTACGTTGTTGAAAATTTAATTTCTTAATTTTTTAGATCACCAACATAATAATTGTGTATTTAAATTGGCATATTTGGCTATCGAGATTTGCAATTATTTCTTAATTTATTGTATTAGTTCAGCGAATCATAAAATTTGGTTCACTCGTTGATTAAAATATTATGTTTTAATTCTCGCTGAGCAGCATCGCGTAACTTCGTTTATTACCACCAATCGGAATTCTATTTCCCATTAATGAAATTGCATTGCAACATTACGAATTATCGGCAACTCGAAACAAAACAAATCTTATTACGTATCCTCATATTATTGCGTGATTACGGCGCTAATTATGATCACGACTATTTCATAATTCGAATCCCATATCAAAATAGACTGAGTCGAAATTTATCGTGATCTAATTTGAAAGGATAATAACATAATTATTTTTATTTTTGTTACAATTTAAATGTATTTTAATAATGCTATAGCTCTTGTTAATATCACATATAATATGTATTATTGTTATTATTCTATCATTATGTATAATAATATTTAAATATATTCAAATATATTATTTAAATTTTGATCACTTTTTGATGATTAAAAAAATCAGATTATGAAGAATTACTGTTCTGACATATGATACTCTGCTGTATTACAAAACGTAAAATAAAAATTTGTTAAAGTATGAAATACAAAAACTTATAACGTTTTAATGCAATACAGTATTTTAAAATTTTGCAGAACATTTTAAATTCACATATCCACAAAAAAGGAATACGAAGAACCTAAAAGTATCGGCCGCGAGAACTTGGTTTCATAACCGAGTAGATATATGTTCTCCTTTGAAGTAACAAATTACTTTATAAAGTATTTAGCGCGAAAAAGTTTCCAAGAACTTCGCTATGGCAAAAAAAGGTCAACGAAGAGAGAGAATATAGAAAAAAATTATGATCAAAAATCTGTTTTCTCCTTTTCTTTCTTATTAAGTCCGTTTAACTTTTATCTCGTGAAAACGCGTAATATTTTGAGTAAGTTTCGACGACTAAATGGACAATCGAGTGAATAGTTTTACCTAAGAATTTTTTTAATAATAAAATTAGTATTACGCTTCTGCGGAAATGTTAAACTAGTCGTATTAATTTTACTAAGAAACTTATCCCACTTTTTTACATGAATTTGCATTCTTAGGTTTATATAATAAAGGATAACGATATCTAATTGATATTATTGTATATAGTGTGAAAATGCTTCTATACGTCATTATATCTATATATTCTATTGATTAATTCTACATATTTCATAATTATCATGTAGTTATCATTTAACACTAGTAACTGTGTTTAGCGAATGCAACAATTGATGCTTAACTGTTGAATAGCCATTGTTTACACGATTGACGGATATTTCTTAATTTAATAGAATAAATTCGTTTTCGCAAAGCGCTGATTCTCAACCATTTATCGAATATGACAGCTACGTAGTTTTGAATTAAAGATAAATTATATGCGATGCATTAACTTTTGTCATTAATTCAATTTCTGCGGCGTACGAAAGTACCGCCGAATATCGACGACTATATGTGCGTGACCGTATTTTTAGCGCAGCCGTTGGAATTGTCGGGCTTCGCGGCGCGTTAATTACGCGGACAAGGCCGCGCGTTGTAGCGAGAATTCCATTTAATACGTTGTTTAACGCAAGCCATGTTACCGGCCCGGTTTCAGACGCGCCCTTTTTTTTCCGCGATATTATTCTAGGAAAACACGCCGCCTCTAAAGCATACGCGCGTATCATTCACAATATTCAAGTCTTTCGCGGAGACTAGAGAAGTTACACCCCATTTTATTTTCCATTTCATGTAAACCATTATCCGCTGGCTTTAGAAATAGGAAGCAAGTTGTGGAAAAGGAAGACGAGGGGTGGATGGGTAAACTCTCTTCGCAGCGTTTACGCTGCGAACTCGCCGCTGGTATCCTTATAAATCGCGCGAGAGCGCGGCTTCCTTTCACGCGGACAAAAAAAAGCCGCAAGAGAATCTCGCCCTTTCCCGCGCAGATTCGTGCGGTGAGGGAAGGCGGGGGAGAAGATTCACGGTTCGATGAGCCGAATCATCCACTTTGCGAGTAGCGAACTCTTGGAGGACGCCGGTAATGTTTGAACAGAGTCCGCGAGCTGACGAGCGGAAGTTCGATGCGCCGTCAGCGCGCTCGCGACCCTCCCCCGTCTAAAATAAAAACGCTCCTCTCCCTCTCCCCTCTCCGCCTGCTCTCTCCCCCTCTCGACTACCGGCAACTTGAACAAATTATCCGCCCCCGTGCGCCCGCGGGGAAAGGAATTTTCAAGCGGAATAAGAATCGAGAACTCGCGAGCGATATCATCGTCTGATTTGCGATTCCGCAAATGTAATTGTTCGATGGATTCTTCGTGCTCCTCCGCGGAAATGTTCCGGGGAAAGTTGAGGCTGCTGAGTATGTCGTCGCCCGTGAAGAAATGACAGGATATTATGGCCGACATCAATTTTCTCAAGTCCTTTGAGTGACGGAATATTGCGAAGTTCGGAGATAAACTTTGAGCGAGATGATGTAAATTTAAACGACTAAAATTAAGTACGAGAATGAAATTATTGAGACACGATAAACCTATTATGGGCCAGATTTCGTTTTAAAAACACGTCCTAGATGAAGAGCATAGATATGAAAATAAAATTCGTATTTATTACTTTCTTTATTATTAAAGTTAACACTCGAGGGGATACGGATATTTTTGTAAGCCTGCATATACTTAGAATATTCGAGAGATAATTTCAATATTTTATGTGTCCAATTCGTTGTGAATATTTAACAAGAATAATATTCTAAGACCGATGACACACATATTTTTACTTCCTCTGCTCCAAATCAATTTTAACGATTAATTCAAAGTTGCAAAGCGTACCGTTTCTCCGCTTCTGAAAGTAGCTCTACGTCTTCTTTATTTCGTCGCCAAAGCGAATGGAAACGGTTCCGCCTTCGCAATCTTTCCGATGATGACGTCTCGTGCCTTTGATCTGGGTGCCGGATCTTCGCTGTTTTCTTTACTTCTCCACTTCCTATCTTTACTTTCGAGGTTTCGAGGCGCATCAAGCGGCACTCGAAATATTAAGGAATTCGTGAATACGAAACTGCGCTATCGGCGTGCACTTTATTTAAAGAGGAGAGAGAACATCTTTTCCAACATTCAAATGCAGAGTGATCTAGAAATACTACGATCTGAAAAACGTTAGAAGGAATTTAAAGATTGTAGCTAGTCTTGACGGTATAGTCTAAAATAAATAGGAAAGCGCTCCCGCGCGAGATAAACGCTTGCACTCGATGTTAAATTGATTTTTAGTATAATAAGAAATCTAAAGAGGGAGAGTGGGGCGTGCAATATAATCGCGGGAATTTATTTCTGGGAGTTAACTGTTCTCGCTCTTCTTCCTCTCTCTCGCTTCTGACGTTCAATGGCGCGGCCATAAGGGCTGTGCGGAATGTCGTGTAGTCTCCGCGCGGTGTAAATTACGGCCGGCCTGTAGCCGGGAAACTCGATGTAATTTCCCGACGGTGACGATTAGACGCGCGAAACACAGAGCGCGAATTCTCCCAGAAGGGATAGCGACGTGACAAATCCGGAATATTTGGTGGAATATACGCGACATCAGGACACGACGCGAGAGTGAATACGAGAGCGCTCGAAAAACGGATTAAATTAATATGTAACATGGTCCTTTTCTCGATCAACAATTTTACACTGGAGCGACACAGTCGAACATTTTATTATTTAATATTTACATATATTTACATTTTTACAATAAAAATGGTATACACATTTTTGTATACTCACGGAACCAGTATAGGGCAAGAAAATCCCAAAAAACTGATGTCGATATGTGTGATTAATAATCGCCCACGTACTGCCCAACTTATCTCCCGTTTAATTTACCGCTGGATTAATGACCGAATTAATTACGGAACAGGGCAAAGCGCTATTTTTTTCACCCTCGACCTTTGTTTCCGTACAGATTGGATGCAGTTAACTGATCGGACCAGCGAACAGAACGAAATTTCCAGGATATTGAATTACGTGAAGGAAAGTGAAGCTTAACGGTGAGTACAAAAACGTTTGTTTTAAAGTCAAAGCATGAAATACAACCGACATAAAATGTGAACATGAGTCAACAGTTATACAACGTGGAAGAAATGAATTTTGAAGAAACAAAAACAGAGAAAATGTAAGACTAGTGAAAATTTTTTAACATTTCTTTCTTAAAGATATTTAAGTTATTACACGTATTTTGAATTATCTAATTATATAATTATACATGTATTCTGTACTTTACTTTTAGTTTGAATGACTTTTAAAATATAATTACTTTTAACTGATAAATAATAAAAATAAAATATTTGATTTATAAAGAATAGTAAAAAATAAAATATAATTAAAATATAATATTAATATAATAAATGACTTTCTTGCACGATGTGTATCTTTTAAAGTATTTGGAATTTAAAATAATATTTTGCTTTTGCAACTGATACTTTCGTTTTATATTTACATTTACATTTATAAAAAGTTTACTGGGAAGTTTGCTCTTCCTGTTATTACACACAGATTGTAATTGTCGGAATGGTCATGTGGAATATTTAAACAAATTGCTATGCAAGTGCTTTGCGATGAATTTTATCTCTTGACGATTTTTAGCTTTTCCAACATTTTCGAGAAACAAAAGCGCAGGCACACGCAGAAAATAACATTCGGAATTAAATTAAATCAAGTCCGTATTTTCCTGCATGATTCGGTTACCGTGGCAAATATATGGACTTTCATGGGAAATTTCTTCTTGCTCCAACTAATTAAACTCGAACAAAGACCCATAATTAAAGCCAATAGAATTCAACTATTAGATATAATTGTGATACAAGGATATACAAGGATTTTTAATCATTTTTATTTTTCGTTTAACACACAAATTATTAAATTTTTGTGCACTTAAAAATACTGTTTTTTATTTTTAAGACATTAAATGTTACACATAAAGTTATTTATTAATACTTTAATTGGAATAGTATTTAATAGCAACAATAAATATATTAATTTTTTAAATAAAGGAAAGAGTAATCTGAGAAATGAGCCGTTAACACTAAATAAGTTAAGATTTATGGGTATTTTACCTACTTGCATCGCGCGCACGAGCGATACATATTTTACGGTACTTAACGGCGTGCCCGCATGCGGATGTCGGATAGTCGTGGTTGTTTACACACGACGACTTAAGGCGAGAGATTGGAAGGAGCTGTTTGTCTAACTAACACAACTTACGTATGATAAGTCGCTAACTATACTTGGACGTATAAATAGCTGGCTAAGTAAAATAATTCCATCAGCATGCATTGCAGGTAGAAATCGATACGTTTTTCTTTCGAGTTTGACTTGCTCAATTAGCCTGATTCTATATTATAATAGTTCATTATAATACAATAGAATGAATATATCGGATGGAAACATTAAATTCATTCTGTGTGTATTTAAAAAAATTTCTGATCAAATGATTCGAAAAATTAATTTTGTTAGAAATAGAAATGGTTTCCAATTTTAATATTTTTTAATTAACTTGTTCGTATTTTTTCATATATTAGATTCATGTATTAAATTCATATAATTTTATTTTTACATAAATTAATTCTTCTAATTATTTATTATATGGTAATTCTAGTTACTTATATAATATATATATATATATATATATATATATATATTAATGTCAGAATAAAAAATTGTTTAACATAAACAATATGACAAATTTAATTTTTTATTTATGTTAAACAATTTTTTATTCTGACATTAGGCAAATAGTACTTTGTTAAATGATCTGTTTTCTAAATCGCGAAATCTCTTTTTTTTCCCACGAATACATAATCGTATGGAATATTTTTCTCGCATATTGGACAATTTTTTTTTTAAACTTATGCATCTGCGACTTTACGCCGCAGATCTATTTCATTCAACTGTCCACTTGGACATCGTCGGCAGACATCCTTCGATATTCTTTGATGTTGCATTACTGGACAGGATTTAATCAGCCGCAAGTAATTCAGCAAAAGCGCGGAGCAAAAGGCGTCACCGCGAGCGGCGGTTTCGGCGGAAATGAAAGGTCCCGTGCACTCTCGGTGTATATTGCAATTGCGGCGCTTTGTCGTTGCGTGTGTCGCGGACATGAGTGTGGAGTGGATATCAGCCAAGGGTAGTCGATTTAAGAGTCGTCATTAACGCCCGAAGCGATTCACGAGTGTTTTTGACAGCGCAAAACTGAAATCTCTTTAGGTTCCAACTAAGTAAACGGCATTACATGAATTTCTTGCGAATCGCTTAAAATTAAAAAAATACAATTTTTTTATCGGAAAATCATATTCTCAGAAATTGGGTTTTCCTTAATAAATAGTAGAACATTTTATTAATGTCACTTATAAATCATTTATAAATTTCCAAATGTGATTATGGAAATAATTTATTTCGTTACAGATACAATCTTTTTGAAAATAACTTTTGAAAAATGTTAAAGCATCTCTGAAGAATTTCTTAAATAATCTCTGGTATACACTTAGATTCTCGTTCTCCTCGAGTATATCTCTAGAAATTATATCCGGCAAATGTTAGAATGTTTATAACATCTGCCGCACATGAGGAAAAGAGGCGCCATTTCTCCCCGTGTTTGCGCGCCCTCGCTGCTTCACATTTGCGTGATTACGTGACCATGCGTACAATGAGAATGTGAGTAAAACATGTCACGCGGTCACGCAAATGTGAACAAGTAGGAGAGCGGTGTAAAAGGAAAAATGGTAAATGATAGAGAAACAAGGGGGTAAAGAATACGGTGTCTTGCGCCGCGCCGCGCTAGGTAGTTGTGCCGAGAATAATGCGAGTGCAACTAATAAATTGTTGGTCAAGTTTTTGAACGCGTAACAGTTTCGCCGTGGGTGGGTGTGTTGGAAGGTGTTGCAACGGCTGGTGCCGTTGTAATGCCGTAATGGCCGCTTTAAATAGTTTAATGAATATGGAAGACAAGGTGCATCGCCGAGTTCCATTCCTGAAGTTACTCGGGCGGCAATAATATTCTCGCGATGCACGAAACACGTTGTTCCCTCACCTCTAACGCGATATATATGCGACGCAATAACGCACCGCATGATTAGTGAACTAAACCGCACGTTATGTAAATATGCGGGATGCCTAAAGTCATTGAATGCTCCTCTTCTTTTTTGTTTGCGAATTCTTTTCGATCCACTCGAGGTTATCCTTCCTCGGCGAACTAAGCTTCGGAAGGTGGAAATAAATGACAGGATTATATTCGTTAGTCCGCCCGAGAGGTACGGATTTTATTTTAATAGGATTTTGGAACGTTTAAAATACCGTCCCTGTATAATTAATTGCATCGTTTTACATGCTACAGAGTTTTCATTATATATGTGGTTTGTTAATTACATTTATTATTTGATTTTCTCGATGATTCGCACATGCGTTTAATTGAAGTAAAATATATAAAATTACGTTTTACGTTAGCAATTTACTCCTTATGACAATTAATAGAGATTTAACCATGGCATAATTATTTCAGCTTCGCCATATGCGATACGGCGATACGTACGTACGTTCTGTTTTACGCTCTCGTTACATGAGGAAAACGCTTAACCAATGCTTGAATATTAATAGTTCGCCGGTAGATAATAGCGGAAAAATGATAGTCGGCCATTAACTTTCAGTGCACTCGCGTGCAGCCGCTGCCGGCCACTAATGATCATGACAGTGGTTACAATAGAGACGGGGAATAAAGATCGACTTTGGCGATCGTTCAACGTCGCTCGCACTTTGCAAATAATTGTCCGTCATTTAATTTGCATAGTATCGCGCTGATGACAGTTTTTCTCTAACGTATTGCCTCATTGCCCACGTAATGTCATTCTCTTATTTATAGAAAACAAAATATGCACAAGTGAAAGACTCGGCAATATTTCTCTGCACGCTTCCGCAAAAAAAAGGGGCATTCATTTTCGTAATCCTACATTAATCTAACCGAGTTCAATACTGGTCCTCATTGTTTCGAAATCAGGCGCACGCGCGCGCGCGCACGCGGCGGCGGCAGGCCGTTTGTTGTAGCTTACAGTTTACACAAGGGGGTAAGGTAAGATCTATGCGCGACGAATCGATTTCCCGAGGATAAACGCCCGGGCGGGCAAATAATCGGGCGCGTTCGAGGTGTCGTTATAAGGGGACAGCCAGATGTTATCGCTCGCCGAGATGGCGGTCCCAGGATGCTGGGACAATAGATACCCGGCCCGGTCGGGATTCGGCCGTTTGGACGCACTCCAGATTGTAAGCTGGAACAACAAGCAAAATCCCGTCTACGCCGTTGATTCGCAAGAACGGGCCATCCCGCAGCGAGTCTTGTTATCAACTCCGACAAAATACATTTGCGAGTTACGCAAATAACAATATCGAATAACATATGCGTGTGTATTAAGCTTATTTGAGGATATTGCTTTTCGATGTATATATAATATTGAGTTCTAAAAGTAGTACCTATAATACTTTTAACGAAACGCTCCTGTAATATATACGTTTCGTGTGACAATCACGTAGTCACTCACATCATGTAGCACCGTGATGTGTATGCAAAGTGTATTTAAAGTTTCGCAAGACGCTTTAAATTTTTCAAGTACTTAATAGTAAATTTACGCAAACGGTAGAAGTTGTTGGTAAGTTCATAGAAGATTGCTCTATAATTTTTAAAATGCAAACGCGACTTTATGTAAAAAATATTGGCAAATAATTTAACAAGAAAAATCGATCACACACACACACACACACACACACACACACACACACATGTATATATATGTATATGTATACATAATTTAACATTTAGTTTAGAGTATGAAACGAAGAAAGTAGGTTATCTATTTTGATACATCAAAACAACAATAATTTTCGACTTACAAGCGATTTATTATAGAAAGAAAATTTGTTGGAAAGTAAACTTTAGAAAATCAAATTGAATACAACGCTACATCATCTTTCAGTAAATTGTAGTTAAAATTTACTTTAATATAAT